TAAGACTAGGTTTCACAGTATCATTACATCTTGGTTTCAAGCAATCTACAGAAAGATAAGTTAACAGTTAAGACTAGGTTTCACGGTATCATTACATCTTGGTTTCAAGCAATCTACAGACAGATAAGTTAACAATTAAGACTAGGTTTCATGGTATCATTACATCCTGGTTGCAAGCAATCTACAGACAGATAAGTTAATAGTTAAGACTAGGTTTCACAGTATCATTACATCTTGGTTTCAAGCAATCTACAGACAGATAAGTTAACAGTTAAGACTAGGTTTCACAGTATCATTACATCTTGGTTTCAAGCAATCTACAGACAGATAAGTTAGCAGTTAAGACTAGGTTTCACAGTATCATTACATCTTGGTTTCAAGCAATCTACAGACAGATAAGTTCTTCATTGCCAGTGAGAAAAACAATCAGCATTTCTACACTTGTGGTTGAGTTGGTGTAGTCCAACAAAGTTGTGACCCAACATGCTATTATACTTTCTGACTTTCTAAAGTTACTCAGCCAATTCAAGTGTGAAAATTCTACTCTAAGAGTAACTTTTTATCATAAAAATAGCATTAAGTTAGTTTCTGCTATAACACACACTATTCCTTGCCTTACTTACAATAGCAATGCTCCAATTCCACTGTTGCGGGAATCTATAATCTCGATGAATGGAACATCTCAGAAAAGATGATAATGATGCACCAACCAAGCCATATTTAGTAAAGCAAATTAATTTGTATAATCTTTAGTCCTTCTACAACAGCATAATTTCTGGTTCCTATTGCAAACTGCAAAATATACTCTCTCGCTACGGGCTTCATCAAATCGGCTGAGTTCATGACCCGAAATTGACCTATATAGTTTCCATACTACAACTTCTATGTTTTGTATATTTTCACAAAATTTTGCAAGCTTTTAGTAATCATTAATAATAATTTGTAAGCAAAAAATCAGAATTTTAAATGAAGTACTTTCACTAAAAATTTCTCCATGAATATATTGAGTCAAAGTGTTGACTGCTCTGATTGCAAATGATCTTCATGTTAAGATTGTAAATACTTTTCTTCATCTGAAAAATCTCAAGTTTTATTTGTATAATCTCTAAAATCTCCTAAATAAATCTGAAATGTTTTTCAATCAAACTTTATCTTTCATCTGTTATTTTTCTACCATAATTCTAAACAAGATTGGTCAAATTGACCAACCTCATAACTACCAAAAAAAATTCAAATAAAACTAAATTACCCTTTTTCTTTCTAGAATGTCTTCACATTGTAACTACATTTGTTTATCTTAAATAGTTTTAAACTCATAACAGTATACATCTGTTTATATTTAAATTGTATTATTTTATTGCTCTTTGAACCTTATATAACTAATATTCTTACCATATAAGTTGTAAATCACTTAGTGATGCATTCTCATTACCCTATTTAATTATATGATGCACCAGCTATTTGCAAGGTGCTTGCAAGTGTACCTATTGAAATATTTTTATTAATATTATTCTTTATCTTACCTAATCTAACCTATAAAGTTTCTAACTTTTACATATTAGTTAATTTTAGAGAAATAAATAAAGAATACATGTGAAAAACAAGAAATAAAGTACTTACCTGGGTCTTCTTTTTTTTTTTCTTTGCTGTTGACTGTCAATGACACTTAAACCTACTTTTTTTTATACTAGTGGTACAACTGAACTTAATAATTTTTTATTTAATTAAATAATTCACACCTAAGAATACAGAATAATAATGTACAAAAACAGACAATGTCTCATAACTATCATGATTTTTCTGGCTTTCTAACAATATGACAAGACCAGTTAGAAATTTACTTAAACTCCTCCATGGGAATAAAGTTTAAACTGGAAACAAAATAGACAATTCTCTGTATAGAAAACAATGTAGTATGATATGTCACTTAATACATTAAAACCCTGGCTTTCTGTTGGTTATAAATAATATAGTATTAAACATCAGAGAGAACTATTGACAATTTTTTAAAGAAAGAATGTGACAGGTTGTTGTTTCAAGAGGGGTCTGATTTTACAGTTTGTGTAACCAAATAAGATTGAAGACCATACAAGTTATGCTTTGCCTGAGCAATGACTGCATTATAATGAGTAATTTACATTCAATTTCATACTTCATGGAAGGGTGGTAGATAAATTAGAGAAAATTGATACCTAAAAATCAAATCTCACAATAGGGGAAATTGAGGATTTAAAAAAATATTGCCTTATAAAATTAAGAACTTAAAACTTATGTTAAAATTTGGATTATTAGCTATTTTTTTATGCAAGTTTATTCGTATACCATGATAAGTAAGTTGTTTACTTAAATTTTGAATGTAACTCCATAAAAACCTCATGATATGCACAGAAAAAGATACCCGTAGTGAAAGTGGCATGAAATAAAACTTGTACAAACTCCTTCATGTACCTTGTCTGTTTTCCTCATTTAGCTTGACCTGAAAATAGTTGGAAGCAAGAACTAAACCAATCAGACTTGAGATTTACTTGGAACTTTGTATTTTGTGTCAATATGGTGCCAATAAAGTAACACTAACTATAGTTTCTGTCTCTATATATCAATATATAATAACTATATCAATAATCATAACGTGTTAATGCCAAAAGTTATTCACCATAATTACAAACCATAACCAGAATATATGTTTTCTCTTGAAGAAATATCTGTCTGAGCAAGAATAGCTTTTTTGTTTTAAAGAAAACCACCTGTCTCAGGTGTTGCTTCTTCAACCACAGCACTAACAGAACATCACATGTATATTTCACAGAAATGTAACATCATCATCTATGTAATCTAATGCACTCAAATGATGTTCTCTCTCAAATCCTTGGTCAGACTGAATCCGAGGTTCGCCTGTTCATAATAGTGGATCTGACAACATTTATAGTCTGTTGTTTATCATTTGGTGTATTTGGTGGTAATGTGGGCTTATGTGTAAGCATAGGAAAATAAACACCTATGAAACCAATGACCAAACTACCTGTTGTAGAAACAAGTATCTCTCCTGTGGTTAAGGGTGTTTATCCAGTCATATTATTTACACTGCTGACGCAGCAGGTTTGTGTATCTTGCCATTCCAATGGTAGCCATTCAAGTTGAACAAAGTCATTGTACTGTATGAGAAAGAATGTTACCATCTGTTACAGCCTCCTGTAACATTGGATCTCTGGCAGAATAACCACAACTACCAATACAGGTTTCTTTTTCTCAGGTGGAGTTGCCACATTACAAAGTTCTTCCACTAACTTATCAACCAGAATACTTTCTTGGTCACTTTCTGCTTTTCTAAGCTTTGCAGCTCATCAGCATATGCAACTTAGTTCAAGTAGACTCATAAATTCCACTCAGCAGATGCTCTATTTTCTACCTAATTAAAGTGCAAATGGAACCCATCTATAGAGTTGAACAAGTTTTATGTACTCCTAGAAATATGGTGCCAGAACATCTAAACTAAGCAGAAGATGCTGTGTTCTTTGATCCTTAGTCCAGGCATTTCAAGTGGCTACCTGAAAAAATGATTAAGAAAGCATCTAAATGTTCCTTAGATGAACTCCTGATATAGAAAAGTGAGATTTATTTGACCTTGCTACTTCCTGCTGGTCATCATTAATGTTATTTGGAATAAATGCCTGTGAAGCTAGTACCAAAGTGGGCATTGGCTTTTCTCAAGTGTGCCAAACTTGCACGTTTTGCCTAATATTGTACTCTTGCTTGCACTGACATGGCAATGATGTCACTGTTTGAATGTGGGGTTCTTGTTGATTTGGGGGTTCAACTTTTCTCCTCTTTTTGTGAGAAGTCTCCTGGCTGATCTGAATACACCATGCACAGGGCAGAATGACAGCCATACCATTAGCAGGTGAGTAGGGTTATGGCTAGCACTGCTTGTTCAGTACAACTTGTCTTTACTTGCTTTAAAGGGGCCCATCCAACATGTGGCTTCACGATGCCAATTCACAAGCTTCACCGTACAGACCACACTTTGATTATTTATCTATTCTCAGCAGCAGCTTTACACCAATGTTTCTGAGCTCAGCTGATCTGCATGACAACACCTGATATTATAAAGTTTATTATCAAAATACAATATACTGAAATATAAAGTAAATTCACACTCATGGCCAGCAAGAGAGGAAACTTCAAGATATGAAGCTGACTGAAAGTTGCTCTAACATTACACATTCTCTCTGTAGCTGGCCAATCACAAATATCAGGAAGTATTTTTGTTCCATTTGAAGGCTGCAGAGCAGTCAAACATGTCCAAGGTAAAGTACATCACAAGATGATTATTCCATGAACCAGTCAACAGTTTCTGTGGGTGGATCCTGATACAGAAAGTAACATCTTGGGCTGAACTTACATATGACCTCAATTTAGTATGTTTAGAAATAGATATTTAGAAAAAAATTAAAGAATATGAAATATACACTAGAGTGAGATATGTGGTATTTGCATATCCCAATGTTATTTATGATATATCACATCTTTCCATAGCAGGAGTTCTGAATATAATTAATTAAGTCGAAGCTTTTTTGGATCTGTCACCTTCATGTGGAGCAAATGTATGTAGCACATTCATGAATACTATACATTTAAGATTTCAACTGTACAACAGGAAACTTACTAGATACATACACAAAAATATCTGCATAGTGTGATGATATTCAAGGTTTTAGGTAAGTGAATCATGGAGAGGTTGTGAGGAAGCTAGGAAGTGAAGCAATTATAGTATGTGACACAAGAGAATGGTTGCAGTTCTGTCACAGATCACTTGTAATTTTATCTGTATATAAAATGGAAAAAAGGTGATGTGAGAGGTAAGACTGTTTTTAAATGATGAATTTGGCAGCAGGATTTTTGATAATTTGATTTAATCCAACAGCAAAAAGGCACGAAAAAAACACATACACACTTAAGATGCTTGAATCATTCTACATAACAAGACTTAATTAGTTATTTACCTTCCGAGTTCCACATCACGTACATAGGCTGGCCCATTTCTTGGTGAAGTTTGATGTTATCCCAAAGACAGCGAACCAGCACCTTGTGGCTGTCAGAACTTTTCCATGCATCAGGCACCTATAAAAATTATGTATGATATTACAATCAATGTTTTTTAATAAACATTTCTTCATTTTTTTAACCCTGCTTCTTTTATTAGTGATTTTTTCAGTAAGTGTGCATACTGTATTAGCTAAAAATGCATGCAAGGTCACATATTAGTCTAAACTGTCCTATTTAATTCTTGAAGTCATTTAAAAATATACATATGCACAAAACTCATAAACTGCAGCAAATAATTTATATTTATATTTGTTACAATAATTACTGTAAACATCAAAGACAGCAGAAACTGAAGATTGTAAGTTTTTTGAATATTTAAGTTTTGCATCCAATTTAATCTACATACATTGTTATTTCTAGGGTTTATATTAACATATTTATTTATTTGGGGAGGGGTGGGAGAGAACAGAGTTCACAGAAAGGTTGTATGAGATGAAGGGTCAAGTGTTATTAAATACAAAAGAAATAGGATTTTTTGCCTTTAAGAAGTGTCTATTTATTCTTTTTTATAATCAAAAATCCAAAATTATCTTAAGCTCTCTTTGTACAGCTTCATGGTGGCTTGATGCTGTTACTAAGAATCATAAAACCTATTCTCAGATCTCATGATTTAAAATATTTCTTTTAGTTCAAGTTACATAATATGACTATCATGCACTTCCAAAAACAATTAACATTTTCATGCCAGTTACAGCTAGAATGTTGGAAAAATGTAAAGACCTTAAAAGACTAAGGTCTGAGATATTAGGAGAGGGCTACCGGTGGGGCTCTCTAATGGAGGTATCTGCCTCCTCCACACCACTGGCTATATATCAATAGCATTTTTCTCGTGAATGTTTTTCACAAGCTGTTTTAATACAGGTAACAAAAGAATTTAGGCATTAGTCACATAAGAGGAATAATTCATTCCAACAAATACTCCAAGAAAAACCAAACATTTTCACAAAATTAGGTCACATATTTCAAAACACAGAGAAAGAAAATCAGCAATAATAGAAAAATATAAACACATTTTTTGTTTATTTTTCATAATGTAGGCATTTACTTTGAAGTAAAACTAGTTTTATGTAAACATACTCAGTTTAATTTTATCTTAGTAAACTACATCCATTTCATTCTAATATTTAGAGGACACTTCATTAAACATTACAAAGTATAAATGTTCAGGTCCCAGCTGTTCACAGCATTTAAGATACAGGTGATTTTTGCAAGGTTAATAAACAAAACAGTTAAAATAGCATTTACACCTCAACATCTAAGTTTCTTAATACACAATAAAAATAGTTTGACGGATGTATCTGACAAAAACCACAAACCTGACGACCCTTCAAAATACTTGATGCCTGAAGACATAATCCTGGAATATGGGTTGTAACGTTGATTCTTCTACAAAACCACATCTATAAACATAACATCACTAAGTATAATTATGTGAAACAAATGATGACCAAACATCATATACAGGAAACAAAAACAGTGAATAATAAGAATATCATCCTTATAAGAAAACAGCTTATTTATGATATAAAACTGTTAAAAAATATTTTAAATTGAAAAACACAAATTTCAGATATTAGGTTACTGATTATAAAAACTATCTGAACTTTCTGAACAGCATTATCTTATAATAGTTCAAGTAATAATTTCAGAGCTTTGCAGATAACATTCTATCCATGTTAGACATTCTAAGTAAATTTATTGTATTGTCAAATATCACTTGTATTCTATACAATTTATCAGTTTTACCACAACTTTTTATCAAAAAGATTACAAACCAAATTCCAGTATATAATCGGATGTTGATCCACAAATTCTGGTTTTGTCAAACAGTCATCACCTTCATGGTCAAGCACATACTCAATTTCTTTTCTCAACACTAGAGGGCTCAAATAAGGCACTGTAAATGGCTCAAGGGCAATGCCTGCATCCACATTACCCAGCTTTCTCAAATCACCACCAGAGGATGTAGCAGAAGAAGAGATTTGAGGTTGTAATGGTTGGTTTCTATGAATGACTGAAAAATGTTCTTTGATGTGCAACTTTTTTTCTGTCATACTGTTCTCTGTCCCTGTTTTTTCAGCAACTGAAGTGGCAAATGGGTATGGTGTTTCCTGACTGGCTGATAATTTTTGTTTCTAAAAGAAATGTTATTGTTTGAAAACAAATAGACAGGTTGGTTTGTTTAATGAAAAGAGTTAAGCAATACTACACTTTATGCTGTATCAAAATTAAAATAAGAGATAAGCACTAAAATGTTTATCTTCACCTAATTAATCCAATAATTAAACAAAACTTTAATATCCTAATCGTTAAACAGAATGTGACAACAAATTCAAGTTAGATGTATTTTCAACATGTTCATATAATAAAATGTTGTTTTTTTTTAGATTTAAGAGTGTGGAATTAAAAGAGTAAGCAGGCATTCTTTTTTTTTTGTAAATAAGTTTCCATGTCCTTGCTGCTCAAAAGAGCATATAGAAACAGTCAATAGAAAAAAGACTAGGAGATAAATCAATTACAGTTCACCATAAGTGCAATGTTGAACTTGAAGCTGGCAACTTTATAATAACTCACTTAGCACATGCTCAGTCAATGTAACCAACCACGTGACCTCTTTCAATATAGTGTGTATATCTTCACAAAATTTGGCTGTCTTTCAGTTAACATTACAAATCTTTCACAAACAAAAAATATTTTGTAGCGAAGTATTTTTAGTAAACTCAAATAAAGATTTGTCCATAAATATATTGAGTATTTGTTTTGAATAGTCCGTGTGCAAAGTGATTGTCATGTTAAGATTAAATATACTTTTCTTCATCTCAAAAATCTCAAATTTCCTTTGTGTAATCCCTAAAACCACCTAAATAAATTTCAAACGTTTTTTTTCAGTAAAACTTAAGTTTTATCTGTTATTTTCTCTCCTTTTCTCTATAAAGGATTGGTCAATTTGATTGACCTCGTAACCAGCAAAAGAAATTGAAATAAACCTAAATTACCATTTTTCTCTTTCTAGAATGACTTTAAATTGTAACATGATACTATGTTCGTTTATCCTAAGTAGCTTTAAGCTTGTAATAATATACATCTATTTATAATTAAATTTTATTGTTTTATTGCCCTTTGAACCATGTCTAACTACTATCCGTGCCATTATAAGTTGTAAATCACTCAGGGAAGGTGCAACTCACGTTATGCTATTGAATGACATTACCCATGAGCTATTATCAGCTGCTCGCATGCGTGCCTCGCGAAACATTTTTATTACATTATTATATATTTTACCTTAAAAGATCCTTATTATTACAAATAAACAAAAAGTAGTTTAACAAAATTTTGAAGGTAAGACACTGAACTTTGTGTTATGTGCAGTAAAGAATACCTGTGGTGATAGGGTTAAACTGACAAGGATGAAATCAACTGAGGACCTTTGATTGCCAGTCTGAAACCTGTTCTTATCCAGCAAAATTCAGATTACGAGCTTGTAATTTAGATTCATTTGATTTTTTAAACTTAGCTTTGAGTGTTATATTCCTCACTATACACAAACATATCTTATCAGGAATGCCTCATATCAAATCCTGGCCACTACCATCACAGAAACAGTCCTTCTCAGGACTTCCCTGAAGATGATAGCAGGTTAGCAGCCAAAATGTACAATAAAAACTAGATGGTAATTAGTATATAGTAATTACAGAAAATATTAAAAACTAATTGATAATTTAAATTTAATGACTGTATAAACCACTAACCATAACAACAAATAAAGAGAGGGTTTCTATTAAGCCAACGTTCAAAGCAGGGGCATGAATGTACAAATTCTTTTTCTTCGGCATCATATGTATGAAGGACTATGCCAAAAAAGCTATGATAACTATGATAACTTTTTGGATACTCTTTCCAATTCTAAGCTATAAGAACCATGTTCACTTTGCCAACTTTTTGTGGCTCAGTTGTATAGTGATATGGGTAGGAAAATTTTTTAAAACATCTTGAGCTTCTTAGTGACAAATCAATAGATGAAATTCTGGATTAAGATGAGAATTTTTTTTCAATTGTTACAGTCTTGCTTTAGATTAATTCTTCATGGATAGCATTAAGACATCATTATCTAATTAACTAATAAATCAGAAAGATTCTCACCAACTCTTGATGCAATACAATAATCAAGAAATGATATCATATTATGTCTTCAGAAAAAATCAAACATCAATAACATGGTTAAAATCTTAGAAGAGATGGCAAATTGCACCAAAACATGAGGAAATTTTCTCAAGCACATGTAAAACTGGATATTTGTTAGGGTTATTTACAAGTAAAGCAATATGTTACCATGATAATAAAATTAAAAAACTTGGACTTTAAATAAACTAATGTTCCTAAAAGAGAACATATTCCTCTCTCCAATAGCATGACAACAATAAAAATACAAATTGATACAACAGACAAGAAAAACAAGTGCAGCACTAATTACCCCCACCCTCATGTAAGCAAAACCGAAGTGAGAGGATCACACATGTAGCCAAAAAGTTCAACACTGATGTCCTCTGGAAATCTTACAGAACACTCAGATCTCTCCTTGTCAAAACTAAACAAAGAACAACTGCTAACAAACACAAAAACATCAGCTATAAATACCTTGTTCTTGTAAACAAACCTGCATTGAAGGATATGGAAGACATTTTGGAGTAAGAATAAAAGAACAAAGAAATTGCACAAAACTGATTAAAACACAAAATACTGCCCCGACAGAACATGCTATGTTGAATGGACATACCATAGATTGAAAAATTACAAACACAGTGACTCAGATAAATTCTGGAAAACATGGAAAATCTAAGAATCTTTTTATATTAAAATGATGAAACCATCATTAATAGAAAATCAGGTCTGAAAACCAACAATCTGTGGCAACCATTGGTTAAATAATCATGCATCCCACCAATCACCTTACAAGAACCACCAGTCAATCATGTCACACCCACTTCAATCATCTTGATACTATATAAAACACAGCAAAAACCAGTGCAAGCTGACCTGAAGACAAAAGATAAAGTTTCTGAGACATTATCCTTTACAACTGAGCTACTTCTATAGAGTAGGATTCACAATAATACATTCACTGCTATCCTCAAATTCCTTGTTCATGTAATTTCACAATTCTTTTGAATATGTTAATCAGATATTGCTTCTGATTACATTGACACATTTGTCAAAAATGTGAGAGAAAAAAAAAGTGATTTCTTATGGCTTTAGCATTATATTGCAACAAAAGCAAGGAAATATTCAGTTATATTAATATTGTTTAGCCAAAAACATCATTATACAATGTCCATGAGTTAATATATATATAAAATACAAATCAAAAGCTAAGTAGAAGACTTACACACAACTCAGACGAACTTAAATCTCATCATAAGTTCAGTTAATGATTTCAATTGTAGATATATGCAAAGTTCATAGCACAGAACTAAAAAATAATTTATGCTAGAATGACACCATTGTGTAGAGAAACAAAAACAGATATTTCATCATATACAACTAAACATCTAACAGTTTATCACATAAAACAAACTAAGCCCTAAAATGATACCCATTTTGTTTGATAAAGGTCGGTTTTCAGATGTCTTACCGATCAAAATATATAGAGGATCAAAGATTAGCTTTGGAAACCATGATTAAGAGCTGGAAGGACTCATAATGTCAATAGTGTAATCTTTAGAAAAAAAACAGTATAATTTTTTTTTTATGAAGGGCCATTTCATAAGAAAAATTAGTGACAACATTTTTGGATTTACAAAACAAAAGTACTGCAATTCATCAAAAAATTACAACAACGTCCTACCATTTCCTTAGATTATAATGTACTAATCATCTGTTTGAAAGCTGCAAACCAATCTGTTCACTCTTCCTCATATTAAAAAGGAAATATTAGAAAGCTACACAAAAATCTGCTTACTCTTTCTCATATTACAAACCAAGAAAATCACCCTAATTTCCTGAGAGTTATAAACCAATCTGTTCACTCTTCCTCATATTAAAAAGGAAATATTAGAAAGCTACACAAAAATCTCCTTACTCTTTCTCATATTACAAACCAAGAAAATCACCCTAATTTCCTGAGAGTTATAAACCAATCTGTTCACTCTTCCTCATATTAAAAAGGAAATATTAGAAAGCTACACAAAAATCTGCTTACTCTTTCTCATATTACAAACCAAGAAAATCACCCTAATTTCCTGAGAGTTATAAATGAATCTGTTCACTCTTCCTCATATTAAAAAGGAAATATTAGAAAGCTACACAAAAATCTACTTGCTCTTTCTCATATTACAAACGAAGAAAATCACCCTAATTTCCTCAGATTAGAAACCAACTGTTATGAGAGTTATAAACCAATCTGTTACTTTTTCACATACTACAGTCCAATTGATGGGAGATTACAATCTAAATTTTTCACTTTTCCTCAAATTACAAAAAAATTGTAAATCTTAATCAAATTAGAGGACAACTTTTGGAAAGTTAAAACCAACTTGCTCACTTTGTCTGAAATTATAAACCAACTGTTGGAAAGTTACAAACCAAGCTATGCATATTAATTTTCTCTCAGATTAACCAACATGCTCTCTCTTCCTTAAATTACAAACCAAGTGTTGTAAAATTACAAACTTACTTTATCACTAATTCTTATAGGGTGAACACCTTTTACAAGCTGGGCAAAGCATGATTATAATTATACTTGTCATAAGGCATTAGGCTTATTGTATTCTGAAACAGTATAACACACTCTTCTAATTATTGAAAATCCCTAAGGGACAAGATAAAGAATGTTGTGTTTAAAAATATTGTAAGCCTAATATTAATGTTTTATGAAAAGTATAATTATTGTCATGTTTTGCCAGTAGTAAAAGGCATTCACCACCATAACAATTGTTATAACAAATGGCTTATATAAATAGTGTTCTAATCACTATTGTGTTTGTATCCCAGTCATCAACAATGGATACAGTGAATACAGAGTGGGTAGAATATTATTATTATTATACAATCTTCTAATTCTTGAAAATCCCTAAGGGACTAGATGAAGAATGTAGTGTTTAAAAATAATAATATGCCTTGATGATTTTGACCACATTCTGCATGACAGACTCCTAAAATAAGTTATTTTTATGTGCTAAAATTACAACTGTTGTACATACAATTACCAAAAATATTTTATTTTTATGGTTTTAAACTAATCAGAAAAACAAAAAATTCTTAGCATATCTTATGACTTCAAAGACACCATAAAAATATTAAAAACTTGTACTATCTTATTATTTAATCAGAATATTTTTAACTGACTAAAGTTTAAAATTCTACTCACATCAGAGACTCTGCATGATTGAGTTGAAGAATCTGAAAATTCAAAATCTGTCAAATCTTTAGCTATGTTTAAAGAACGACTTGAAAAAGGACGATACACTGCTGACTTTGGTCGACTGTCTTGGCTGAAACTCAAATGACGTGGACTAACAATAGGTGTGCCCCCTTTTGAGCTTCCAGAGTCAGAATCTTCAGATACAAACCATGCAGCATTACCACAATCTATACTCCGATGTATCATAGTTCTCTCAAGAGAATGCCCTCTTTTAGGAGTTGGAGTTCTACGTCTCAGGTTTCCCTCATGGTGTAGCAGTTGAGATGTAGGTGGTGCACTTCGTATACTCTCTGTAGAGTGGGCTGGTGTTAAGTTAGAGTCACTTAACTCATCAGTTCGCATATCCTGCAGGGTTACACATTTAGATCTAAAAATTAATTATTTTTTAATATTTAAAGTAGCCAATTCTCATCCTTTAAAAACAAAAAAATCACTTTTAAATAAAACATTATAAATACTAATGAAGTCCTTCATCTGTGTACTTTATCAAACATGTGAAATAGTGCATCTAACCAAATTCATGTAAATCATTATTAACGTACAAAAGCAACAAAAACACCAACAACTCAAAGAAGCCATGTCAAAATAAAGAAACTTATTCTATGACATCTTATCAAATATATTTTTTCCATTTATTAAATATATTCAGCAATTTTCATAGCAAAGAAATGTAGAACCAGTTTTAGTACAGATAAGAGAATGAATTATCATGCCAAAAGAATATCAAAAGAAAAACTTTTGAGTGATATAATTATGTCTACTATACATTCTGAAAATGATAACAAATCAATGACAAATGTTGTATAAAATAAGAAAAACATACAAAATTCAAACATTATGAGAAACTACATAAAAATATCTTAATGGTAGATATATTACATACATGCAGTTGTTGTTAACATATTTATGCTGAGAAACAACTGATGTAAATTTAAACTAAACACAGGCCAACTTACTCTGATGGTCACAGTTAGGAGTGGAACTACTCGAGCTTTGCAGAAGGCACACCTTGTGTGAAATAAACATTAAAGTTATATATTTAAAACCTCCAAACAAATATCACCAACTGTTTGAAAAGTGTAAATATATCATATTACTTTTTAATTTGAATATTGTCCACAGAAACAAATTTTCTTTTCTTATTATAAATAAACACAAATGTAGTAACAGATATAAAAACATCTCTTAACTAATTTAATAGCCATAATAATGCTCTTATAGATCCAGTAAGTGGTAAAACATAACTTATATTCTTAGATTATGCTTTAGATGTTGTTTATCAAAAATATTTAAAACCATTGATAACATGTTCAGATATCCTGTACTTCTTGATGCAGAAATTCCTAAAAAATTGCTAAAATATCTAGACAAAAACTATTTAATAACACTCAATATACTTTAAGCAAATGGTACAAAAATAGATGTTATTATTTTCCTAAACTGAAAATATATTTCCGATAGGTACTTACCTCTCTCACACGTATAGCTGTTCTTGTTCAGTGCTGCCCTCTATATGCAAAAACAATTTCCACATGCCACAAGCCTTGAACTCCTATGTACCCCATGATCAATGTGGTTCAACTGCGTCTTGAATGTAAATCATCATGCGACAACCCTCCATCAATGCATGTGACTCCCTCTACTGATTCTACTGAACTATCACTTCAAGATTAAGCAGAAAAAGCACTGGTTTTCAGTGGGAAGTGTGAGAGGATGTAAATGCTTATCAGAAATCTATTTTTCAGTATAGGAAAATAACTTCCAATACAGTAAATTACCTCCACTCACACATGTGGCTAAAATCCCATACTGAAGAGATGGAGGGACCAGTGTGAGGAATAGAAATAGGTATCCTTTGAAACTTTCTGAAGAACACCCATGAAGTGTTATCCCCATTGAGAGAGGAACAAACCAGTGTACTACTTCTGTGGAAAAAAATATCACATACATGAGCAAAAAGTGGGTAGAGTACAAACCAAAAATGGAGAGAAAAACGTTTGGGTTGAAATCTGATCCACAGTATATTGGAATTTCAATCCCATAAAAGAAAGACTGTAGAAAAACTATTTACAGAAAGGAATGTGAGGAAAGCTAGAATGGAAGTGTTCAAAGGTTTAGAGTGACTAGGGTGCAACAGACCATAAGTGGCTGGTCAATTCCAGTCCAAAATCAATTAGCATCAGGAATAGAGCATCCAACCCATGGTAGGAGGAAGGTCCTCACCATATTCATCTCAAGTTAAGTAAAATGGAAAGGTATACTGTGCAAACCGATCTATGAAATGGGTACATGTGTGCAAATCCACAACCAAACTCACATCCAGCAACCCAACATCCGAATGACAGTAGGAAGAGATGTGCCAAGGTGAACACCGGAAACAATGCAACAGGTGACCATGGAAACTCTATTTTAAAAAGCAGACTGCCCCTGATATATTCAATCAAATGGCTAGCAGGGATGAGCAGCTATCCCCTTCTGATTTACCCATGTAAGTCCATGGGTTTGTATGGTCCAGACCAGGCATATTAATGAAGCAAATATATCGCGAAGAAAAACCAAATAGCAATCTTGTGGAACACTTCATCACAACTGTATGCAATATAAGGCATGGGTACACAGCGTGGTCACAAGTAAATAGACACCACCTTTTCAGAAAAAATGAATTTTTTCAGTCATATTCACATGAATTGATATATTTATAATTTAATTAATATCTAGTAGATCTTCCTTTCACTTCGTGGAGTTCGTTGATCCTTTCGAGCATAGTGAGAATCATCTCATCAATTTTAGATTGTGGGATTTTCTCCCACTCTTGCTTCAAAACTTGGAGTAGATGGTTCTTTGAAGTTGGTTTTTTGGTTGTTCCCTGACTTTCCAGTCGAGTATGGCCCAGAGGTTTTCAATGGGGTTCATGTCAGGAGATTGGCTCGGCCAGGGCAACTTCTGGATACCATTTTCTTCCTGCCACTTTTGGGTGTTTCTAGCAGTGTGACACGTTGCTCCATCTTCCTGGAACAATGCTGTGTTCTTGTCTACGAAACCCGAGGAATAAAGTGACAAGAGTCCTTCCTCCAATATTTCGCAAAATTT